AATCCATAGAAATAGGTATCAGGATACTGGTTTCCAGAGGCTGCAGGGGAGGGAGGAATGGAAAGTGATTGCTTAATGAATAGGGAGTTACCTTTGTGGGTGATAAAAACGTTCTGGAACTAGATAGTGGCAATGGTTGCACATCACTGTGCTGAATGCCTCTGAGTTACGGTTAAATGATTAAATGGTGAATGTTGTGTTTTATGAAAGTTACCACATTAAAAAAAGTTCACAAATGCAAAGAAATTAGCAAACATATAGGTAAACACAGACATTGTACATTGTATATTATGAGAATAAATGATGATAATGTCTCATTTGTGTGGCCTTAAAAATGAAAATAAAATAGACACCATGAACATACAAGCTGAGGAAAGGGCAATCAGAGTTAAAGCATGTCAATGTCCCTCTGAGGACCTATGAAAGCCATCAGCTCTCAAGTACTCTTGACTGATCCGTAGTAAAAAAATGTTTTACATTTCCACCCAGTGTACACACATATGTATATGACTGAAACAGGAATTTCTTGAAATAACACTTGCCCTAACCTTGTGAGTGTTTTCTACTGGTATTTTCTAATCTAATTAATTTAATTTTTGAAATGCTGATTGTGGTCATTAAGTTGATGATATAACTCATAAGTGTATTGTAACCCATAGCTTGAAACACACTGGTGTAAAGAGCCTGTGGTGGCCCCCAAACAAAGAGCTAGGCAAGAAGAGAAAATAGAGGAAAAGGTCTTGGTAGTTCAATATCCACTCTAATGCTCTGTAAGCAAGCATAGACAAATGGCAAATTGACTGTTTTCCACAACCTTTTGAAGATACCTTTCTACTTCAGTATTATAATCTCCTTGGGGCAAAAGAATATTTACACTAGTGTACTAGAAGCCTTTTAAACAATTCTGTATTTGAATAGTGTTCTGTCAATTGCCAAGATAAACTTTTCTTGAGTTATTCAATATGGATGCGGCTCATGGAAAGCGTTTCAGATTCATGGACATTGTAAACAGTCTACTTCAATTTGAAGAAATCAGATCTGACCTGTGGTCTCACACCTTTTTATCTTGGACAAGTCACTTCATTTCTCTTGGTTTCAGTTCCCTCATTTGTAAAAGTAAAGAGAACTTTTAAGTTCTCTTCCTCAAATAGAAATCTGTAATTCATTCTAAGTCTACACAGAGCCCCAGCTTCACACACATACACATACACATACACACACACAAATGCATTGAATTCAGATAAAGAAAACTTAATGTAGATTCTTATTGAAATACTCACAGCATTGGAATAATCTGTATTAAAATAAGTGATGAGAAGTGATGAATCAGATGATTTATTGAGCTTATTTCCCACTTATTTTCAGATACATAATTTTTTTTTATTTCTAAGACATTTATAGTTTTTTTAATTAGTTGCTGATTGGGTGTGGTGTAGTTTACTTATTGCAGTGTCAGGAACTTTACCAAGTTGTAGAAGGGGATTATACTGGTCTGAGCCTGTACTATTAAACATGTCCATATTCCGTGGTAGATACATGGCTCATGTTTAAATTCTTGTTCCAATTGTTGTCAAGTACTTCAAGTAATAATATTTGGTAAGTTATGTTTACACTTGAGATATAAACATCTGTTTTCTCCACCACAATTATTCGTTTGTGTTCGCTAGTCATGTAACCGTCCATGCTGTAGAATCAGATGTGACTAAGAGATTTGGTGTTTTCAATTCACCACTGTCTGGGAAGATTCCTGTGAGATGAAACAGTGGAAAACATACTGTCTGCTCCAGCCATACTGAACTATTTTCAGTTCCCTGAAAGCCTTTTGATCATTTTTCCTTATTGTCCTTTTTAAAACGTTTTTTGTGGAAAATTTCAAACATAGATAAACAGATAAACAGGAGTAGAAGGGACATCACTCATCACTCAGCTTGAAGTAGTATGAATGTTCTGCCTTGTTTCTTTTATCTAAACCTCCACCTCCAGCTCCTCCATCTGACTGTTTTTACAGTTTTTAAGGTAAAATATACATACATTGAGATGCACAAGTATTAATTGAACAATTTGAGCTGTGTGTCTATACCCTCACCACATTTCCTTCTCATAAGGAAAAAAGTCCTCCCTTGGAAGGAATCCCCCAAACCCTCAAAGGCACCACTGAATTTTTTCACCTTAGATTATCTTTATCTGTTCTAGAACTTCATATAAGTGGAAGCATACAATATATACTCTCTTATATGCAGCTTCTTTTCTCAGCATTATGTTTTATTCATGTTATTGCATGTATCAGTACAGTAATTCATTCCCTTTTATCACTAAGTGCTAATATACTGCAACTTGTTTACCCGTCCTCTTGATGACATTTGGGTGGTTTTCAATTTTTTACTATTGTGAGTAGAGCTGCTATGAACATTGATGTACAAGTCTTTTGTGAACATGTATTTTCATTTATCTTAGATAATTGCCTGTGACTATAATTGCTGGATCAAAAGGTGTGTTTAACTTTATAAGAAACTGCCAAACTTTTTGTCAAAGTGGGTATATCATTTTATACTTCCATCAGCCGATACTTTGTATTGTCAATCTTAGCTTTTAGCTATTCTAGTGGGCATGAAGTAGTGTAACATTAGGGAAATCATCACTTCAGACTCAATTTAGTCTCTGTAGACTCAATTTTTCCATCTGCATAATGGTGCAGTAAGACTTAGAAGTCAAATGAGATAATGTATTTGAAAGGGCCTTGTAAAGTGTGAAGCCTTGATCATTGGAAAATATTCATCTTGGGAGAGGCCAAGGTACATGATGCTCAACTTACCACACAGTGCTCTGACTATAAATATATAGGATGAAAAAGATCAGACTGGGAAATAAAATGTTCGTTACTTTGTAACCATTTCCTTTTTGTCATATTTTCTTCCTTGAAAGTTATATATAGGAAGACAAATTCAGGTAATTAATTAACTGAAACCCCCTTGGTCAAGACTTCTAATCATTCATTCTAATCACCTGTAGGCATCCAATAAATGTTAAGTTAAGCAATAAAGTAGTTACCATTTCTCAGAAGGACATGAATGTAGCTCATATTGTCCTTTTAAAGAACTTATGATTTCTTTGAGGAGATGGAAATAGTCAATACATCTTCAGACATGATCTGCCTTTGGTCTCTTTCTGTTCAAGCAATGCTGAAGAGGCTGTTAGCTAGCCTACTGCTTCCAATAGCTGTGGTCGTTCTTGAGTTTTCATATTTCAGCTAAATATTTACATCTGTTGACCATCAACAAAACATAGCAACCACATGAAGATATTTCATTGAAAGCAAAATATTGTGTGCTTGTAGATTTTCTTTTCTTTTTGTGATTGGTATTCAATGGTGCCTTTTTGTCCTCACTTATCAAAAGGAATCCTTCTTCCAGTGACGTTAATAAATAAGGAAATCGGCTTGAAAACTTCATGAGACCCATTTTTCTGGAATCAACATCGACCATTATCTCTTAGTAGCTCCCTGGAACCTTGGGATGGAGTGGGGAGGATTCTCTTCCTTTACCCTCCCCCATTTCCCATTTGGAAAATACAAATGCCCCAAGTCTTAGTTATTTGTTGAGTTTGATGTTAAGAAGTACAAAAATCTTGTACGGCTTACTCACATTAATGGGGGAAACTGGGCCACCCATAAAATCTAAAGAGAAAGTTTGTTGTGAAAATTGTATCTAAAGGACAAAAAGTGTTTCTTACATATACTTGCATTCAGATGAATAGTCAGCTACTTGATTTCTCAAAGAAAATAAGTATAATATTGTTTTCTAGCATACTAGGATACTTCTGTGTATAATAAAACACATCCTCATTGTATTGGTGTTTTGGTTTTACTCACTTACCTTTGCTCATTTTGGGGAACAGAATGGAAAGTCAGGTAATTTTGCTGAAGAAAGAGACATGGCTGATGCTGGTATATGGATATGCATGTATGGACAGGTAGACCAGGGAGTCTCCAGTGTCCCCCGCCCTCCACACTCTTCTTCAAAAACATTATTACAACAACTAAAGTATTCTGGCAAGTTTGGGTGTGTGGATGTGTCATGGGTTGATAAATTTGGTAAATAGTTTCATATGGTAATTTCATAGGTAAAGAATTAGAAGATTATCAAAAAATTGAAACAGTGTGAGAAGTCCATAGCTCAGGAATCTAATGGCACCAATATACCTTTTACTTCCCTATCCATTTAAATATTTCTTCTAAAATCCCAATGTCAAACCCAGAGATTGAGGGCAGAAGCTTGGGCTCATAGCGCTTCTCAAAATAATTATCTTCCAGGTACTTTAATGTTAATTTAACTGATGCCTTCTAGTGCTACAGGATCGTCTCATGATATTTTTAGAGAAATGCTTGAGGTTGACATATGCAAGGCAAAGATATCTACTGGCCCAGTCACAGGTCATTTAATTCTCCATCTTTTTGCTACCCAATTCAAAATTGAAGACTTTGTAAATTCTTTGTAATCCATTTCCTTGTAAACATAACACATTTCTTGCCCTCTGTCTCCCCATACCTTCTTTTCTGAAAAAACTGGGGCAAGTGTTTATAAACATCTGTTCTGGTTATTCTTTGATTTGTTGCAGATTTATTCTCTGTTCTCTGTGATGTTCTTTGTCCTGGGAGCCTGACCTCTAGGTACTTTGTTACCCCGGTTCCCTTGCCCTCTGGCCAGTGGGAGGAGAGAGATGTTGGAATATTTATTTTCAGTATATGTCTCCTCACCATTTATTCCCACTCACCATCTGCTTCACTGTGGTTCTATCAATGGCCTCATCACCCAAACTGCAGCTACTGTTGGGCAGCGTATCTTGACTCTAGTTCTTAGCCAGCCTCCAAAAACAGTGTTTTCTCCCCCTGCTGTTCAAGCCTGGGGATCGTCAGAACTCCCTGATGTTCCTAGTCTCTAGGTGCCTCAACATCCCATTCTCGTTCCTCTAATCCTAACCACACCTCTAAATATTTCCTTTAGGAAAAAGCCTCTACGCAACAAAGCTGAGTGTGCTGTCTCTCCTGCTAAGCCGCTGGCTGATAGAGCCTCCTCCTGCCTTCAAGTTCTCTGAAGTCCATGAGACAGTGTCAGATTCAGGGATCATAGACTCCTCTGAGCCTGAAACCAAGTAAGTACCTGAACACCCAGACTTACATTTTCTTTTGTGCACTCTCGGTACTTAGAGGGAACTGTAATGTCAGGAATAAAAAAAAAAGAACTAATTAAATAGGAACATTTTTCTGAAACACCCTATGCCATTTGAGTTATTTAAAAAATATTATATTTGCATCTTTTATGGTCAAGAATGGTATTTTCTGGGAACAGAAACAGAACTTGGGAAGATTTAACCCTTTGTGGAGCTATTGGGATGTGTATCAGCTATCGCCACAAAAATTCTGTGTCACAAACCACCCCAAAACTCAGTGTCTTAAATACCGATCATTTAATCTCACAGAGCTGCATGTCAGCTGGGTGGCTCTGCTTCATCTTCTTCATGTGCCTTGGACCGGTTACTAGTCAAGACATGCTCTTCTCATGGCGATGACAGAGGTGCAAGAGGCCAGGCCCAACCACTCAAGCACATTTCACCCTCCTATTTGAGTCACATCTGCAAGGCAAGTCATGCGGCCAAACCCAAAGTCAGGGATTTGGGGAGGGATATTTCCCTTGCGGAGGTAAAAGGGGGAAGGAATAAATATTTTGGAAAGTATTCTAACGCAGTGGGCCAGCTACAGAAAAGTCATTCAAGAGTGGGCTATAGTTTGTTCGATTAAAGGCAAGAGAATTTTTGTTTTAGAGTTTTTCTTCTCATTCTTCATAAGTGAACAAGAATGACTTTGCAATGTACACTGCTCAGGTGATGGGCGCACCAAAATATCAGAAATCACCACTAAATAACTTATCCATGTAATCAGACACTACCCATTTTCCAAAAACCTGTTGAAATAAAAAAATAAATAAAAATCAAACTAAATGTCTTGGCATTCAGAAACTTAAAAAAATATGTAGAGATGGTATTGATCTAGAAATAGAGGCATTTTGGGGTTTTAGATATTAATCAAATATTATTATGAAGATTTCATTATCTGTTCATGGTTAAACTGGTATTGCCAGACTTTGAGGCCTGAATCAAGCTTTGTCTGTTGTTATTTTCCTGCAAGATTCACATCCCAAAAGAATTACTCTTATTCTGAATCCTGTCTGGGATTCAGTACATACAAATGAGTATGCCTGTCGGTAATTCTGCAATCTGGATATAAAAAAAAAAAAAGTCAAATGGTCCAAAACTGATATTCTCTTATCTGTACAGGATTTCCCTAATTGGTAACTAATTTGTGCTTTAACTAAGATTTCTTCAAGCCCCTCAATTTGGAAGGGGTTAAAGTTGAAGATTACAACAGATTTGACCAAGCTTAGTATCCATCAGTCCTTTTTTATCCTAAGAAGGGGAGGAAAATGTTTTCCTTATATAGTATTGAAAAGCCCTTAGTTACATTGATCATCGATGGGAAGGAAAATAACTATTTTAAAACAAAGGAACAGCAAAGAAAATAGGGATCAGAAAAACAAGAAATGTCCATTATGCTACCAGCACAGTGTGTGAACCACAGTGTCCATAAATGTTGGTTGATTTCAATAGAAACATTAGCTTGCACCTCCAGCTCTTGAGGGGCAGTACAGAAATCCGGAGCAGGGTGATACCAGTATGATTTTCAATTATAACAAACCTCACAGATCAGATGGTTCTAGGACTGGAATATAAGAATAGATTGGTTTGAATAGAAGAAGGAAAAAGCACTAGAAGACAGACAAAGTATGAGAAAGGTTTGGAGTCAAGAATGAACAAAAGTGTTTAGGGGATAGTGAGACCACCTTGACCTATATAGGAAAGTGCTCAGAAATTAGATGGGTTAGAGATCATGGTGCCAGATTATGAGGGCCTTAATAGGGGCCAAGGAATCTAAATTGTCACATGGTAGATGTTAGAAGCTGTTGGAATTCCTTGGTGGGGATATTACGTAGTGCAAACAACTTCAGTTGTCACAACAGACTAGTCTTCATTGTGACTCTTGGCTAGCTTTTGACTTGGAGATAGTAATTATCATAGTGGACAAGAGGGGATGATTCATGTGTGTTTCAACTCCTTTACAAATTTTATTTTAGCCTGAATCATAGAAAGACTCTAAAGCCTTTTCCCATGCGTTTGTTGGCAGCAGCGGCATGTTCCCATAGGAACACACACCACTTACCTACTCAGACCTTCCTTTTGCCCTCAGATTTTATTCATTGAAATGTTTATCTTTTCTACAAAGCATATTTACACATAAGCTTAGAGCACTGTCTATTTTTTCTCCCACAACTGAGAATTCATTCTGAATATTTGCAGATACATAAAACTCCAGCTGTAACTCCAAGCAAAATATGATTAAAGAAGGAATTTGGATAAACCTGGAATGATAACATCACATTGAACACCATCTGGTGTAAACATTTTACCTTTCCTTCTGCAGTGAAGGAAATATGGCTCCTTGTGCTTCTTCAGTGATTAATCCAGGAAAAAGCCTTTGCTGAGCTCAAATCCAAAATAGGAAGCACCCACCTTCCACATGTTGGAGAAGGTTGCGATCCCAGGATGACACTGCCCTTTTCCTCTGCAAGGAAGGTGTTTCCCCGACCATCATGCCAAAGCCACAAACACTTACATTCCTCCATAATTCTGCTCACATAGTACACAATAATTTCTCCACTGCTTTGTTCCTCTTCCAGATTCTAATGGCTTGAAATCCAAACTAAAGGAAGTTACATCAAAGCAGTTGTACACTTTAGAGAAACTTTGAATTTGGCTACTAGAGATTTTCTAAGGTATTCCTTTTCTTAATTTATATGAAAACTGTTGAGCTAGGTTCTAGATTAAGTGCTGGTGATTCAGACATGAATAGGTCTTGATGCCTCCTCTGGAGTGTTTCAGGGAGGATAGTTACATAAAAACTAAGCTGTAATAGAATTTAATAAATCCTTTAATGGAGGTAGAGAGTTCTGTGGAAATGCAGAAGGAAGAATAATTGCTTCTTCAGTTTCAAGGAGGACTTCACAGGGCAGAAGGCATTTGGGCAAGTCTTGAAGGATAAGCCAGGACTCCCTAAGTGGGATGAGGGCACTTGAGGTGAAGAACAGATGAATAAAAGCATCAAAGTGCAGTGTTGGTTGTTATTTCTTTTTATTCCAGATAAGACAAGTCAGGAATCAGGACATTCAGGGATCTGGGAGGCTGCCCTCTGTAAGCACAGCCTTCTCAGCACAGACCTGCTGCAAGATGAGATTTCAGGACTGCACAATCAGGCTGAGTGAATCATAAGGGTATTATGACTTCCTGGGAAACAAAATATTTGTAAATGCTTTTTTTCCCCTGGGACATGGTCTCACTCTGTTGCCCAGGGTGGAGTACAGCAGCATGATCAGAGCTCACGGCAACCACGAACTCCTGGGCACAAGTGATCCTTTCGCCTCAGCCTCCCCAGTAGCTGGGACTACTACGTGCCACCATGCTCAGCTGATTTTGCAGACACTTTCATGAAAATGGAACAATGGACTCAAAATAACTACAGATATTCCAGATGATCAGGATATGTGGTTTCTGGAAGAGGAGCCATATTTTTGTAAAGGGAACCTGAAGGAGATTACCCCAAAGTTTCAGGAACTGCATGCAGGTGGTCTCAGTCTTCCTAGCCCCATGAACATGTCATTGTGTTTTTCCTCATCATTCACTTTTCACATGACTAAAATAGGAGTTCACTCCCTGTATCAGTTTCCTAGGGCTACCTTAACAAACTACCACAAATTTGTGGCTGAAAACAACAGGACTGTATTCTCTCGCAGTTAAGTAGGTTGGAAGTCTGAAATCAAGGTGTCAGCAGGGTTGGTTCTTCCTGGGGATCTGAGGGAGAATCTATTCCATGCCTCTCTCCTCGCCTCTGGTTTCCAGCAATCCTTGGCACCTGCAGACACAGCACTCTAACCTGTCTCCTGCTTCATGAAACCTTCATATGTGTTTGCATGTGTCTCAAGTCTCCCTCTCTTTTGTCTTAAGTATATCAGTAAATCCAGGATAATCTCATCCCAAGATCTTTAACTATATCTACAAAGACCCCATTTTCAAATAAGCTTACATTCATAGGTTCTGGAAATTAGGACTTGAACATCTTTTTGCAGGGACACTGTTCAACCTGCTGTGCACCCCCTTTGTTGCACACATCTTGTGCCTTAGTGCAAAGAATGTCTTTTGAGAACCTACAACTTGGCTGTTTGACCTTGTCCAAAAACTAGATAAACTAGATACTGGGACAGAAAGACTTAACTCCCATTATCCATGGGTAAAATAGAGGTCCTGATTATCCAGCTTCAGATCTCCAAGAGTTTCTTACTAGAATCTTTGACCAGAGGCTCATCAAGGGATGTGAGCCCTGTTATAAGATGCCGAGAATAAGACATGTTTCCTGGAAAAAGGTGCAGCTACTTCACACACACCTTTCTTGCTTTTTATAGTGCCTGTGATTGTAACATACTCAGCCTCTTGTAAACTGGAACCGATAATTTGCAACTCCTAGAGTTAAAGAACATGTTGGGTTCTGATTACTTAGCTAGTCAGTGGCTACAGGGTCTACCAGAATTAAGAGACTCAGATGAAAGCCAGCTCCCAACATTTACGGAGGGTAAACGAGTTTCTGTTAACCCCCTATTCAGCTTTTGCAAAGCAACACCTTCAAAATGGATTGAGTAAAGCAACTTCTGCTTTGCTTTCCCGTAAATCTCTTTTATCGCACTTTGCTTTTAACATATTCTCGAAATTCTTGGAATTCAGGAGTATCGTCTCAAGAAAATTTAATTTATTAGCTAATTACTACATACTGTCTTCTTGGAGCAAGGTTGCATATTAGAAGTTAGACATAAAGCTTATCCAACCTTGGTTAAATCTAATTCTCCTCACTCCATGCCTGCACCCAAGCGCTGAATGTGACTAGAGAAAGACATAACCCTGCTGACTGCTTTCAGGCCACTAATCTCCCATAAGCCTTTGGTGCTACTTGGCCATCCTTCTCCCTTTACCTCATCTGTTCTTAGTCCTGGATG